GAAAACATGTTGTTCCTTGGTGTTGCTTTCACACTTCCTTTAAGCAGGATTCAGGAATTAGTCTTTGCCAGAATAAAATGATTTTTTAAATCACCTCATCCTCCTGTTCAAATGCAGGGCATGCTAAAAGCTTTTCCTTTGCTTTTTGATTACTTGCTGTGATTAACAAGAACCGGAAGATCTACATTTCTTTTCTAATAATGTAAACCTAGATGACATTTCAGGCTAAATAATCTGTGAATGAGGAAAACAATCTGGCTGCAGCATATTTCCCTGATGTCCAAAGAGCAAATGTGTGATCTCATCAACTTACTACAATTGCTTGCCAGTGGATGAAGAAGTGAGTAATTTTGAAGCACAAGAAGCAAAATCTAGCCAATGAAATGGTCCCTAAAGTAAATCAGGTTACCTCAAAAGATAATCGAATCATAGAATCATAGAGTTGGAAGAGACCTTGTGGGTCATCCAGTCCAACCCCCTGCCAAGAAGCAGGAAAATCAAATTAAAAACACCCCTGACAGACGGCCATCCAGCTTCTGCCGAAAAGCCTCCATAGAAGGAGTCTCCACCACACTTTGGGGCAGAGAGTTCTACTGCTGAACAGCTCTCACTGTTAGGAAGTTCTTCCTAATGTTCAGGTGGAATCTCCTTTCCTTGTAGTTTGAAGCCATTGTTCCATGTCCTAGTCTCCAGGGCAGCAGAAAACAAGCTTGCTCCCTCCTCCCTATGACTTCACCTCACATATTTATACATTGCATCTAGAAATCTTCAGCCTTTTAAGCAGAGGTTAGATGGCCATCTTTTTGAAAGACTTTAGCTGTGGATTCCTCCATGGATAAGAAACTTTATTAGATGCCCTTGGGATCCATTCCAACTCTATTATTCTATATCATTTCTTTACTTTTTTTAACAGTTTGACCCAAATCTAGCAGGTTTGCTTCCATCAATGGAACTGCTAGGGAAACAATCTCTCCTCCTTACTGCAGTCTTCCTTGGAGACCCAAATCCTGATATGAAGGCCTGAGAACCACTCCAGAATCAGTTTTCACATGAGGCCATAAACTGCAGTGAGATTAAGATGGAAAGAGGTCTATTGTGCTGGTTTTGCTGCACCAGTACAATGCTTGAAGTTCTGCTCTTTTTTCTTTATTTTATATAGCTAAAATATATTATACAATACAGATTCAACTTGATATACAAATGATAAAATGAAAAGTTGAAGAGAGACAACAGGAGAAAAGATGGATCAGAAAACTCCTAGATTGTGAACCATAAATAATATAAGATTATATACTTTACATAGACAACTACAGTGGTAGTAGAGAAAGATTCAGGAAGGATCCAACTGAGCACAGGTTAAGACCTATTTTAGAACCAACTTTGCAGAAATAATTTTTTGCTGCCACTATTACATAAGCTCAAATTTGTCCAATGTAGCTGTTAAAGGCTATTACACTCTAAACTGCTGAGACCTCTGAAAAGTGATGTGACTGGTTTGTGGAGGAAAGATTTAGTAGACTAGATTTAGTAAACAGAGTCCCAGAAGAACTATGGACAGAAGTCCGAGACATTGTTCAGGAGGCGGCAACAAAGTACGTCCAAAGAAAAAGAAAACCAAGAAGGCAAAATGGTTGTCTGCTGAGACACTGGAAGTAGCCCAAGAAAGGAGGAAAGCAAAAGGAAACAGTGATAAGAGGAGATATGCCCAGTTAAATGCGCAATTCCAGAGGTTAGCCAGAAGAGATAAGGAACTATTTTTAATAAGCAATGCATGGAAGTGGAAGAAGACAACAGAATAGGAAGGACAAGAGACCTCTTCCAGAAAATTAGAAACATTGGAGGTAAATTTCAGGCAAAAATTGGTATGATAAGAAACAAAGATGGCAGGGACCTAACAGAAGCTGAAGAGATCAAGAGAAGGTGGCAAGACTATACAGAAGATCTGTATAGGAAGGATAATAATATTGAGGATAGTTTTGATGGTGTGGTGAATGAATTAGAACCAGACATCCTGAGGAGTGAGGTTGAATGGGCCTTAAGAAGCATTGCTAACAACAAGGCAGCAGGAGACGACGGGATCCCAGCTGAACTGTTTAAAATCTTAAAAGATGATGCTGTCAAGGTGATGCATGCCCTTTGCCAGCAAATATGGAAAACACAAGAATGGCCATCAGACTGGAAAAAATCAACTTATATCCCCATACCAAAAAAGGGAAATGCGAAAGACTGCTCAAACTTCCGTACAGTGGCCCTTATTTCTCATGCCAGTAAGGTAATGCTCAAGATCCTGCAAGGAAGACTCCAGCAATACATGGAGCGAGAGTTGCCAGATGGTCAAGCTGGGTTTAGAAAAGGTAGAGGAACGAGAGACCAAATTGCCAATATCCGCTGGATAATGGAGAAAGGCAGGGAGTTTCAGAAAAACATCTACTTCTGCTTCATTGACTATTCTAAAGCCTTTGACTGTGTGGATCATAATAAATTGTGGCAAGTTCTTAGTGGGATGGGCATCCCAAGCCACCTTGTCTCTCTCCTAAGGAATCTGTACAAGGACCAAGTAGCAACAGTCAGAACTGACCATGGAACAACAGAGTGGTTCAAGATTGGGAAAGGCGTACGGCAAGGCTGCATCCTCTCACCCAACCTTTTTAACTTGTATGCAGAACACATCATGCGATGTGCGGGGCTGGATGAATGCAAAGCTGGGGTGAAAATTGCTGGAAGAAACATTAACAACCGCAGATATGCAGATGACACCACTCTGATGGCCGAAAGCGAGGAGGAGCTGAGGAGCCTTCTAATCAAGGTGAAAGAACAGTGATAGTTACTATGCAGTTAAAAGTATGGATGAGAGTTAGAGATGGAAAGAATATTAATAAATATTCAGAAGGTCATTCAGAAGGTCATTGAAAAACATGTTATTTTTAATATCAAGAAACCCTGAAAAAAGAATCCTGGACTAATGAAATTTTTCATACTTTAGGACTTGTTCTGCTCAAAATTCACGTGTAATTGTTTTGCATAGAAAACAGTTTTCTGTGCAGAAAACATTTTCTGTATAGAAAGCAATATTTCTTGCACAGAAAAAGCTATAATTCAGGGCTTTTTCTATGCAAAATTCACACATTTTCTTCGCTGAAAATATTGATTCATCTCCAGAAAATTGTTTCTGTGTAAATCGACATGAGCAAAATTCCAAATTGCAAATGTTTTTCAAAGCCTGCATGGTTTTCAAGGAGAAAGCTGCTAAAGTTACTTGTTCCTTCCTTTAAAAAGAAAATTTGCAAATTATTGTATTCCTGGTCAGAACTTTAAAATATTATTTATTTATTTTACTTCAATGCAATACTGGCTGTGGTATTCTGGGAATTATTGTCCAAAAAATTAACTTTCTAAGCCCTGGATATAATTTACTGGAATCCAGGTAGCCTGACCCTGGCTACAGTAACAACTTCATCTTTGTGTTGTAGGGAAATAGAGAATTGAGAATAAGTTGTAGCTCTTGCCTGCGGATATTTTGGGAAAGTAATTTCCTTCTGTTTATGTACCTGTTGGTCCGATCTTGTGAAATTTGTTAGAGTCAATCAGAAGCACTGTGAGAGGAGAACACATAATGTTCTACCCAATGAATGGCTGACCCATGCCCTTCCTTAGCATAGAGAGAGAACAGGTTTTATATAGTTAAACGAAGTACTGTATTTTAACAGAGTTTTGGTACCTTATAAGAGTTCCTTGTCCCCAGTTAGTGTGGAACCAAGAGCGGCAAAGAGGTGTTATCACTGGAGATAGCAACTGCAGAATCTAGTACTAATACTGCTAGTAGTTCACATATCCCAAATATATGTGATTGGATAATTAGTATTAATACAAACACCTTTCAGTGCCAATACTGCCCTTGGTAAAGAGTATAAACTCCATCCTCCCATTGGTTTTCTTAATGTAATTTACCCAACATTGCTGCAATGATTTTTCAATTATGAATGCATATCTTAGGGATTTCATGCACTCTTCTGCTATAATCTTTTACACTACACAATTATAACACTCTGGTTCCATTTTAAATGGCATAGCTCCATCCTATGGGATTAGGAATTTAATGAAGTACAGAGTTCTCTGGGTGAGAATTCTAAATGCCCCTCCCTCAACTGGAAATCCCTGGACTGTATAGGACAGTGGTTCTCAACTTTTCTAATGTCACAACCCTTTAATAAATTTCCTCATGTTGTGGTGACCCCCAAGCATAAAATTATGAGAAGGAAAGGACAGGGCCTGCATCATGGAGACCATGAGGCACAGCAGGAGGAAGGGAGAGAGAGGGAGGACTCCATTCAGGATGCAGACGAACTGAGGAGAAGAAGGAAGGGAGGAGGCCCCAATGCTGCAGCCCTTGGTATGATTCCTTTGGGGGAGCCCTTCTTGCCTTCTCTTACTTCCTGGGATTCAACCATGGAGGGGCCACTCCACCCCCTCTAAGCCCTGCCCTCCCCCAGCCCCCCTTTCCCTAGGCCCCCCTCCCTCACCTTCTCATCACCTCCTCCCCGAAGGGGGGTGAGGTTTGCTTTGGAGACAAGAGGGAAGAGCTTTCCCCTTGGCTCCAAAGCAAACGTCACCCCCATCACTCCCATTCCTTCCTCCTAAAATAGCAGAAGGGAAGGGGCAGGGCTGAGTAACATCAGCACCTCCCTCCAGAGAAAAAGAAGAGGCCTCTGGGAAAGGAAGGGGGCAGGAAAAGATTAGCGGTGTCTCGGTTCCTAAGACTGTCGGTTTTCTGTTGTGTTTTCTGTTGAAATTAACTTCACAATTCAGCAGCAGATCAGTTGCACAACTTCAGCGCTTTCCAGTAGCTTCTTCCTGCACAGTATTTTCAGTCAACTGCTCCCACAGCCTGCAGTCACTCTGGAACCTTTTACAGACACTTGAGCACATGCCCGGCCATTGTCAGTTTTACCATTTTCTTTCCCCCAGTCTAGATGACATTACAAACTTACCACAGCATACAGTTATATCTTGTCTTAGCAGACAGGTTCTTTTAATTACATATAGCCTTCGACGAACAACATCACAGCACAAGGAGAAATATACACTGTACATGACTTCCTTATATACAATTCTATACAATTACACATAGCAATCTCTGATTGGTTCCCAACTCATTAACTTAACTCAGACCCAGGATTACATCATTCACAATCACCTGGACTAGGCCAGAACACATTCCCCAAATGATTCCCTATATACAGTTAATGCATGACTCAGCATTTCCAATAGAAGCCCATTAGCAGTGCATGACTCAGCTATATTACATTACAATACATTGTAAAACCTGACATTTTCCAATGGTCTTAGGTGACCCCTGTGAAAGAGTCATTTTACCCCCAAAGGGCCACGACCCACAAGTTGAGAGCCAGTGCTATAGGATGTAACCAAAGCAGCAAAAGTGGAACTATAGTGCTATCAATATGTACTGTGAAAGGGCCCTTGCTGATAGCAGGCAGAAGGTGAATGATGTTTCATAATGTCAGCACTCCTCAAAAACTACAGACATTCTGCTATGGGGCTGGGAGACAAGGCCTTTAGCTTTTTTTAACATTGAGTGTGAATGTACTCGGAGCACCCGGTGGTGCAGTGGGTTAAACCTCTGAGCTGCTGAACTTGCTCACCAAAAAGTTGCAGGTTTGAATCCAGGGAGCAGCATGAGTTCCCGCTGTTAGCTCCAGCTTCTGCCAACCTAGTAGTACAAAAACATGCAAATGTGAGTAGATCAATAGGTAAGGAAAGTAACGGCACTCCATGCAGTCATGCCGGCCACATGACCTTGGAGGTGTCTACAGACAATACTGGCTCTTCGGCTTAGAAATGGAGATAAGCACCAACCCCCAGAGTTGGACACGACTGGACTCAATGTAAGGAGAAAACCTTTAACCTTATGAATGTACAAGAGAAATTGACTTTGGGGAAATAATTTATTATTTTGCCATGAATAAGATAGAAAAACAAACCTTTTAAAGGAATTGTTCTTTTCTTGGTCATCATTCACTGGTAGGGTACTCTGGTGAGTACCTTTTTTCACCTATTAGTGTTAGTGCCAGCATGGTGTAGTGTCTGAGCATTGGACAATATTTTTGTAGACCAGATTTAATTCCTCATTCAGTCATGGAAACCCACTGGGTGACTTTGTGCAAGTCACTCAATCCCAACCCCAGAAAAGCCCATGATAGAAAACCCCATAAGACAGTAACTACTTGAAGGCACACAGTAACAAAGGCATTTCACCACACTACAATCTCTGATTAAAAGCCATTGAAATTAGCTTAATTGATGGGCATAAATCTTGGCCCAGTTTGTAGCCCACAGTTGAGAAGAAAATGCCATTGCCTTTTAACATGCCATTTGTTAGAAACATTCAAAGAAAATCCTTTCAAGGTACAGTGAGCAGTGCTTACTTTTTGTTCTGCTCTTAGCATAACTTACTTAGAGAGAAGAGAAATCCCAGCTTCTGATAAACCTGTGGAAAAAAAGTTTTTTTAAAAAAAATCTCTGGGTTAAATGAGCCTTTGTAGCAATGTCATTTGCCTATTTGCTGATTCTTCCCTTAATGAGCAGCTTCTGCCTGTGACTTTCTTTCCCTTGTATTCCTGGAGGGCCCTTGACATTCTGTGAATGTTTTTCTATGCCATTGTTTATGTTTTTGCTGCCTTGTGGTCCCTTTCCAGTTGTGATCTTTTCATTCAAATGTTAAACTGACAGGCAGGCTTTAATTAGCTGGAGTCTTAATTGCCAAGGAGACCTCCTTATTTAGACCAAATAAGAGAGACGGCATTCACATCCAAACGCACCCGATGAAGGACAGCTTTATGCTCAGAAGGGGGTAATAGTTTTATCACTCTGGCTATTAACATAGTTCATGTGGCTTATGTTGGAAAGGGACTTACAATAACATTCATTCCTTGCTCCAAGTTATAGCTCTTTCCTTGCCAGTCTGCCAGGGAAACGAAATCTCCCTTTTGCAAAAAGCATGGTAAACAGTTGGCATTGGGCTCCACGTGCATTGATTTAACCTCTCTTGGAGTCGCAGATGTGTCGCTCTTAGAGTGCCTATATTTTTAATATGTTGTCTTTGGCATTTTCATTCTGAGAGCCAGTTATAAAAATAGTAACCAACCAATCATTTAACTTGTGTTAATAATAACCAGTGATGTTTTCATGTAATTCTGAAGATGCTTCTTACCGCTTGATAACAAAGAGGTACAGTATATATACAGACATACAAAACAGTACCCATAAAAGCAACCTGAGTAATCTTGGAATTCTAGATGTCTCTTGGAATTAGTTCTTTTTATAATTGAATATGGGTGTAGTATTCCCTGGGAGTTTTATTTAACAGCAGAGTTAAATAAAATAATTTCACAAAAGGCACTCAGACTCCAATGTATTGGGCAGTACACCTATTTTTTTTATGAATTTTATTAATTTTACCCACCATAAGAGCAATCATTCCATAAAAATGATGGGAAACGTTCTTGCTAAAACTGTTGCAGTGTGTGAGAGCCCAGTTCTGCTGAACATGAGCTGTGAGAATGCTCACTTGAAAATAATTGCTGGAATGCTATAGGGGATTGTGCAACTGTCATAGTTATGAGCTACATGATGAATTTTGCCCAACTCTCCCCAATTCCTACTTACTAGGAAGCAGCCACTGCAATCAATAAGGCTCCATTCTTCTATTGCTCAGGGAGCAGCTGACTGACATTCCCACCCCTTCTTATGAGCAGTCACCACTGCAACAAGCAGAAGTAGGATCTATGCCACACCCTGGAGTACACTCACACAAAAGGAGTGGGGTTTGGGAGAGTCAGTCAATTTTTTTCTCCGGGTGATGGGAAATGGACCAACATCAAATGCATGTTGCTTTCAGGACTCAGAAAACTGCCCAGATTATATAACTGACATATTTACAGGGGAGCAGATCAGTTTTTGCCCCCACCCTGAGAGGATCACTTTCAATTTGATTTTACCTTTATTTTTAGCTGTCTTTTGCCATGTTTTCTCCATGTGGGGTGCAGTCATAGGGGAGTAAGACAAACCATCACATTTTCATTGATTTGGGCAGTAGTTTGGATTATTTGTGGTATTTCAAAAGGGCTGCACAACCTTTGTGTTCTGATTCTGCTAAAACATGAGGGTCCTTGCATATCTCCTTTGTTATCTCACCCAAAGCTCATACAGAAGGTAGCAGCCAACTAAAAGTTTGCTTCTCTAGAAAGTTCAAATATTCACAGTAAATCTAGAAACTATAGGTTCCCTGAGATTATGTTTGGCCAAAGGAAAAATAACAACTATCTCTTTACTTTATTCGGAATAATCATTTATTGACATATGACTTACATGTATTCTCGAAGGCTTTCATGGCCGGAATCACTGGGTTGTTGTAGGTTTTTCCGGGCTATATGGCCATGTTCTGGAGGCAATTTTTCTCCTGACGTTTCGCCTGCATCTATGGCAAGCATCCTCAGAGGTAGTGAGGTCCTCACTACCTCTGAGGATGCTTGCCATAGATGCAGGCAAAAAGTCAGGAGAAAAATTGCCTCCAGAACATGGCCACATAGCCCGGAAAAACCTACAACAACCCATATGACTTACACTTTCAATCAATAACTCACTCAGAATTTCTGTTAAGTTACAGCACACAATAAGCATAAACAATTGTCTGTTTTCAATTCCATCACATGCAGAGTTGAGCCCCTGCTGAGTAGCGGATACCTACCTCAAAGCCATATTTACACACTTTGGACATTGGTGGGTTGATGCTCACTCCATTTTCACTCACTTTTTGTAAACCAGCCAGTAGTTTTAATAAAAGCTATTAAGGAGTAATTCCAGTAACTGCATGAAGCCAGAATTTGAAAGAAGATGGTGGTGAAAATAGAAGGGTCATAGATCTAGATCAACTCGCTGTTTTATAGGATCTTCCTGTAGTTCCTTTGTGAAACAAGGTGACATATATATGCTTAAAAATCAAGTAAGCATAAATCAAAAGAGTGCACTCAAAGTCATAAATGGGTATTATAGTTTGGCTTCTGTATCCACAGGTTCTGGGCACATGGATTCAACCAACCACAGCTCACAAATATTTTTTAAAATCCCAAAAGCTGACTGATTTTCCAGGTATTGATCACTGCACAGATGTGTAGGCAATAAGCATACCCTGCTGTAGCTTTCTGTCATTTCACAGATTCTCAGGATCTATCCAATACTCATTTATTTGCCATTTTATATACAAAATGTTATTTTGTGAAGCCAGTGTATGCAATGGGAATTGAATATCCATGGATTTTGGTATCCACAGGGGTCTTGAAACCAAAGCCAATGCATATTGAGGGCCTACTGTATTCTGAAGGCTCCTCAACAAGATACATTTTAAGGTCAGCTCATACTCCATATTTTTCAGACTTACCTCCTGTGCATTAATTACTTCATAGAGTTAGAATGCTAGCAATTGCATTGTTCCACAGCGACCACTTTTTATAATATTGAATTGGTCACAAAAAAAAACCTCTCTTGAGTTACAACTCTTTGGAACATTTTTCTTAGGCTACTGGATTTATTGGGTTACATTATTAACCTTGCCAGAATCTCTTCAGGGTTGTAATTAAAACACAGATGGTCCCCAACTTACCACAGAAAGGTCATTTTGCCTTTTGAGAATGCTTTGTGGTTGCACTAATCTTTTGTTGCCATTCATGGAAATTAAGCAGCTAACTCATAAACAAGAATGCTTTCAATTACCCATTACGTTCATTCTCTGGAAGTGTTAATATCACTTTGAGGCAGAAAAGAACATTAAGGCCCAGCAGTGATAAGTTTATCCTGGCTTATTCTTCCAGTAAAGCTCTTTAACGCACGTGTTCCATTTCTTCTCATTCATTCTCATGTGTACGTGTGTCAGTCTTAAATCTCTCAAATCCGCCAGCTGATCACATGGATTTCGAAACAATGGAAATCTTACACCTGCTGGAGTTGGAGCTATGAAAGGCCAACTCATGTTGCTGTTGATTGAATGGGAGTATTTGTTCCCCATGAAAACTGGAAGAAAAGAGAAAAGGGACAAATTAATTCTGACACAAAATCTTTCTTCTTGAAGAGTTAGTTTTATTGTATGACTTGGCAAAACCCACCTTGAGTATTCATTGCTTAAGGGCCTCATCACATTGACCAAATCGGGCATCCTAGGATGCCTCTAACCTGCTTCGGGGACGGAGCCCCATGCTTGCCATCACACAATCTTGTGTGACTTCTGGCAGAGGCCCCACCCCCAACTGGGGTGGAAGTGTCCTGGGACACTTCGCTCCAAACACAGGACCCTTTCCACAGGACCCTTTCCACTTCTCCCCGGTTTAAGCATCAGCACACTGGAGCAAGGCGCAGGGCAACACAGGGCTCCCCCATGTGATAAGGTCATTTGAAAACCCCATGAAATTCATAAGTCAATAGATACCTTGAAGGCACCACACACACACACACACACACACACACGCACACACACACATATATATAATAAGCTCCAAATGGCAGGATGTTTCAGTTAATCCTATGCCATACTATTTTTACACTGCTCTTCCCACTGCCCCTTTTTTCTGCAGTGTACTTCAATGCTGCTAAGTTCAGACTTCAAAAGCAGGATGAAAAGAAGAGGAGAGGCAAACTCTTCCCCTTCCCATTCAGCACAGGCAAAAAACAACTTGTTGCAGCCTTTCCTAGCTTGCTTATTCTTTCTCATTAATTTCCCATCTTCACCACACCCCAATATACACTCCGATATCATGTGTCTGGGTTTTAATCTGTACAATGTTGGAGAATTTGCCACAGAAAAGGAGACATGGCCCTATAGAGAACTCCAAGGAGGATCCCAAGCAGACTAGATTTAACCCCAAGGCTTTAGGTTTCTGATCCCTAGTTCAAAGGCTGCTGCTGCAGGAAAATATGACCTCCTATTTTCTGTAAATAATGTGTCACCACAAAGACTTACACCAATGTTCCTGAGTTTGCATTCATTGCTGAGCATTCATTGTCATCATAATGCCATGTTTTGATCTGAAAAATACTAACACAAGAGGAACTTAGAATCTATGATACCACAATCTCATGGTACCAATACTATCAAATTAAGGAGAGCTACGAGAAAGACAAAAAAATAGGCTTCGAGGAAGAAAAATCCTTCTGGATCAAACTAATAAATTCCGAAGGGAAACACATAAGAAAAATCTATCAGCAACTGCTCCTGTGGGAAACTGAAAGAGAACAGGTGAAGGAGAATATGACAAGATGGGCAAGAGACATCGGCCGTCCAATCAATCTATCGGAATGGGAAGAAATCTGGTCGAAAAAATTAAAACTCGTATACTCAACAGAATTTAGGGAAAACTTGTATAAGGTATTTTTCAGATGGTACCTTACCCCGGACCAGCTATCAAAATTTAATAAAGGTAAAACAGATGGGAGATGTTGGAAGTGTAGAAGAGCAGTCGGGGATTTCAAACACATGTGGTGGGGATGCAAGATGGCTAAAACCTACTGGCTCCAAATACATAAAGAAGTCAGAAAAATCCTCTGTAAGACATTCCACCCAAAAATAGAATATTATCTGTTGGGAATAATAGGTTTTGATTTAGACATAAATGAGAGTAAGATTTTATTTTACCTCTCTACAGCCACCAGGATCAAGTGGGCCCAATATTGGAAATCCAGAGAAGTTCCAACTATAGAACAGTGGACACTAAAGATCTATGACATCATGAACATGGATCTACTGATGCAAAGAATAACAGTAAGCAACACCAAGACCAAGACTACGGACTGGAGCAGTTTCCTAAACTACCTCGAAAAGAGAACAAGGGAACTATGAGCGCTGGAAGCGTTAATCAGAAGATCAAAAATCAGAACAAAGTATAAATAATACAAATATATGTATATACAAGGCGAAACCTTGGAAAGAAGACAAGACTGACAGCTCTGGTACTCCAGGAAGCACCTTTTCTAAAGACCCTTTTTCACTCCCCACCCTTCCCCACCTCCTTTTCCCAACCCTTCAGAATGAGTCAGGTCAAGAAAGTGTTATGCATGCTAGGAAGTGAATGGCTACCCCCTTTCCCGACCCACCATCCTCCCCCCCCTTCCCCCCCTTCACCCTTTTCTCTTTTTATTAGATGCACTACTCTATTTTAATGTACATTGAAAATTTAATAAACATATTTATGAAAAATACTAACCGTTTGTTAGAATAATGCCATTGTTTAATTATTCTGTTTTTAATTTGTGATGAATGATAATCTTATGTAGTTTTTTTCATTGTTGTTCATTCGTTCAGTCGTCTCCGACTCTTCGTGACCTCATGGACAGCCTACGCCAGAGCTCCCTGTCGGCCGTTACCACCCCAGCTCCCTCAAGGTCAGTCCAGTCACTTCAAGGATGCCATCCATCCATCTTGCCCTTGGTCGGCCCCTCTTCCTTTTGCCTTCCACTTTCCCCAGCATAATTGTCTTCTCTAGGCTTTCCTGTCTCCTCATGATGTGGCCAAAGTACTTCAACTTTGTCTCTAGTATCTTTCCCTCCAGTGAGCAGTCGGGCTTTATTTCCTGGAGGATGGACTGGTTGGATCTTCTCGCAGTCCAAGGCACTCTCAGCACTTTCCTCCAGCACCACAGCTCAAAAGCATCGATCTTCCTTCGCTCAGCCTTCCCTAAGGTCCAGCTCTCACATCCGTAGGTTACTACAGGGAATACCATGGCTTTGACTAGGCGGATCTTTGTTGCCAGTCTGATGTCTCTACTCTTCACTATTTTATCGAGATTGGACATTGCTCTCCTCCCAAGAAGTAAGCGTCTTCTGATTTCCTGGCCACAGTCTGCATCTGCAGTAATCTTTGCACCTAGAAATACAAAGTCTGTCACGGCCTCCACGGTTTTCTCCCTCTATTTTCCAGTTGTCAATCATTCTTGTTGCCATAATCATGGTTTTTTTGACGTTTAGCTGCAACCCGGCTTTTGCGCTTTCTTCTTTCACCTTGATTAGAAGGCTCCTCAGCTCCTCCTCGCTTTCGGCCATCAGAGTGGTGTCATCTGCATATCTGAGGTTGTTAATGTTTCTTCCAGCAATTTTCACCCCAGCTTTGCATTCATCAAGCCCCGCACATCGCATGATGTGTTCTGCATACAAGTTAAAAAGGTTGGGTGAGAGTATGCCGCCTTGCCGTACGCCTTTCCCAATCTTGAACCAGTCTGTTGTTCCGTGGTCAGTTCTGACTGTTGCTACTTGGTCCTTGTACAGATTCCTCAGGAGAGAGACAAGGTGGCTTGGGATGTCCATCCCACTAAGAACTTGCCACAATTTATTATGATCCACACAGTCAAAGGCTTTAGAATAGTCAATGAAGCAGAAGTAGATGTTTTTCTGAAACTCCCTGCCTTTCTCCATTATCCAGCGGATATTGGCAATCTGGTCTCTCTCCTCTGCCTTTTCTAAACCCAGCTTGAACATCTGGCCACTCTCGCTCCATGTCTTGCTGGAGTCTTCCTTGCAGGATCTTGAGCATTCCCTTCCTGGCATGAGAAATAAGGGCCACTGTACGGAAGTTTGAGCAGTCTTTCGGATTTCCCTTTTTTGGTATGGGGATATAAGTTGATTTTTTCCAGTCTGATGGCCATTCTTGTGTTTTCCATATTTGCTGGCATATGGCATGCATCACCTTGACAGCATCATCTTTTAAGATTTTAAACAGTTTTTTTCATAAGTCCCATTAAACCTAATGCGATTGATTCCCTAGATTTTTATTTGACAGCACAAGGAATTCTCTCTCCACCCTTTCATGCCAAATAGCAATTAGGGTGGGGTGGGGTGACATTTATCAGAACTTCAGCACAAAGCCCAAGGATTAAAATCCCTTCCATTCACACTGTCCCTGATCACTATGGCTACTATTTACAGTTTTTAGGAGATTCTTACAGCTCAGAGTGATGTGTTCACCACACTTGTCTTTTGGTCCTTGGTCCTTAGTTGGCACTGTTTCCATCCTTGAAGCCAAGGTGAAGGTCACATGCCACTCCTGAAAAGGCAAAAACAAACCAGTGACATGATTCTGTTGTTGTGACTATAGCAGAAGCAGTTTTGGGATTTCTGTACTTGATTATCCTGCAAGGGTAAGTTAAGGACATAGCATCTGCTTTCCTTGTGAACATTGGCTAGAGCTGATTTTTATTAATGTATTTTGAAAGCTTATAGACTAAAAACTCCTATGATCCTCTTCACATGAGAGCATTTGCCCTCCCCCTTTACAGATGTTCCTTTGTAAGCCTTTGCATCATATCCCTTTGGCTGTTCTGTTTCACATAATGCCTTAATTGAAATATGTGATTTTGTAACCTCTTGGTGAGATCACTGTGTCTTTCTTCAAACTTGGTTTATAAAACAAAGGAAGTCTGAAAGGCATGAGTAGGATGGGTTCTTTCACACACAGAGACACACTCACATGTCACCGTCACTTGCATGGATTACAGAAAGGATTTTCAAAATACCTCGACACTGACTTCACTGCAGAAGGTGTGTCAGTGTAACAGAATATCATTTTGGAGTCCTGTTATAGAATATTGGTCAAATTCTTGTTTCCGATGTAGCATTACTGCAAGATTTTGTTTTTCAGTGCTCTTTCCCATATTGCTTTGTTATTCACATATATTTGTTCCTTTGTCCCTCCAGAGCTTCCAGATAGTTTCAGAAGGTATGGCAAAATTAATAAAGGGAGTTAGTGACAAGAATAACAGGATCCCAAGTGATATCAAAAGGATTCTGAAAAGTCAATCTGCTAGAAATCAGAAGATACAAGACAAAAAAAGATAGATTTTTTTAAATTATGAAGATGACAGCAGCAACAGAGCAGGAAGTGTTAGATAGGGCTTTTTGTTTCCCATTTCTTAATTTTTCTACCTTCTTTGCTTCAATATAATAATAATAATAATAATAATAATAATAATAATAACAATAACAACAACAACAACAATAACAACAACAATAAAACTTTATTTATACCCCGCCACCATCTCCACAAGGGACTCGGAGCAGCTTACATGAGGCCAAGCCCAAAACACATCAAAACAGAAAAACCAGTCATGTTTACATTAGCTTACCACCAGATGAACACCATTTTAATTGAGTTTTAACTGTTGTTTTATATGCCTATTTGTTTTATTTAGTTGCATTTTATATTGTGTTTTATTTTATTCTCTGTTTTAAGGCACTTTGTGCCTTGTGTAAGCTGCCCCGAGTCCCTTTGGGGAGATGGTAGCGGGATATGAGAATAAAGTTGTTGTTGTTGTTGTTGTTGTTGTTGTTGTTGTTATTGTTATTTGAAACACAAAAAGATTAGTACACGGTAAACAAGGTCACCCTGATGGCTGTTGTATTGGATCACACATTGGACACTTCCCAAGTGTCTAAGACTGTGTGATGTATCGGCGAATAATGTGTGCAGATCCCAGTAGGGGCCTTTTTGCAGCTGGCAGATGGTAATTTTCTCAGGCCAATTGTGTTTAAGTGCAGGCAGGTCTTTAGGCACTGCACCCAGTGTGCCGATCACCACTGGGACCACCTTTACTGCGTTATCTTTTTTTTTTTTTTTTTTAATTTTTTTATTGATTTATCACTTTATTACATATTATTACATTTTGTACATCAACCTCTTTAACATGTTATTTTTATTATTTTACTCTGACATTTCTCCCCCTTTTTCTCATTTTTTTTCCCCCTTTTTTCACCACAGTGCTCCCCTCCACCCATTTCAAGCCACCCTTCTTACATTTCATCTGTCCAAAATTTCATTTCTTCTTGTGACGGTAATTTTCCTTCCTTATTTTTTAATCCATTTACCACAAATCTTCCCCATACAGCATCAAAATCGCTTTGTTTCCATATACCTTTTTTAACCTTTAATATACATGTCAATTTATCGTTTATTGCTATTTTCCATGCTTCTTTATACCACTCCTCTATTTGTATATTCATTTCTTTTTTCCAATTCCTTGCTATAAGCAGTCTTGCTATAGTTAGTAAGTTTGTTATCGCTTCTTTATCCTCCTTTTTCAATGCTTATCGTTATATAGTGATAGTAATGCTATACTAGGACTTTTATCTAGTTTTATATTCATTATAGTTTCTATTTCTCTAAATACTATCCCCCAAAAATTATTTACATATCTACATTGCCACCACATGTGTATATATGTTCCTGGTTCTTGACACCCTCTCCAACAATTTATTGAGTTATTTTTACTCATATATGCTATTCTTACCGGTGTCAAGTACCACTTCCATATTAACTTGTAATAATTTTCTTTAACTCGTATCGATAAATTTTTTAAATGTCTTTGTCCCCATAATTGTTGCCACTCTATTTCGCTTATTTTTATCCCTAAATCTTCTTCCCAAATCTCTTTAAGGGTGCACTTTTTTGTTTTTTCATCTTTCATTTCAATTAATATCTTATAAATTTTGCTAATTATACCTCTCAAGTTTTCGTGTTCTTCTACAGTCCTTCCCTTCTGTATTATTTGTTCAATCTTTAAATTCTTGTGTCGTGTCAGCTTCTCCAGTTGTTTTTCTTCAATCCTGCTGTCGCCTGGGATTGCAACATCGATTATTCATACTTGGTTATTTTATTATTATAACACAATTGTGAGGTTTCATGTTCCAAAACTCTGTCAGTCTGAATTTGGAAGTCCCTGAGTAGTTTGACATGTTCATTTTCTGTAACCTTTTCATGCTTGTGAACCCACCAGTTCTTTGTCACAGGCAGATGGTATTTGTGACACAAGTTCCAATGAATCATCTGAGCAATGGTATCATGCCTCTGCCTGTAGTCTGTCTGCACAATCTTCTTGCAGCAGTTGAGGATGTGATCTATTGTTTCATCTGCTTCCTTGCAGAGTCTACACTTGGGATCTGTCATCAACTTTTTAATTAATTAATTATGATTATTTGAAACACAACAAGATGAGTCCACGGCAGACACGATCACTCTGATGGCTGTTGTATTATTATTATTATTATTATTATTATTATTATTATTATTATTATTATTCTGTATATGGTTTAAGATGAAAGTTTAACAGCTGACTTGTCATATTCTATAATGTAATACATCTCTTACCTGCATTACAAAGAAGTAGAATATAATGCAAGCAACGTGCCTAGTCATTAGCATGTCAATGTTTTCCCCTATGCAGACTGTATATCTTTGCATATACATGACTGTACCTAATAAGTAGCCCAAAAATTACTAAAGAGACTGCTCATTTTCCCTTTGAATACTGAGATTCCAAGACTTAAGAATACCTAAGTCAAGTATTGATATTAGTTCTGCCTTTCTGGATTTCATTAGCATTATGACTTGGATGCACTGCAGGTAGTGGTGGTGACTCTGATGAGTGCTATTTACTATTGTGGTTTGCAGCACAGTCTGTCATTTGGATCATGCCTGTTTAAAAGAGTTAAAACCTCTTGTTCCTACACATATTAGTCCTGATAGAAATCATTTTTTATTTATTTATTTATTTACTTTGCTTATATAATGCTGTTCTCAGACCGAAGGCGACTCACAGCGGTTCACAACAATAAAAGACAGCAGAAATTCAATGTACAGTATAAAAACAGTTAACAGCCTAATCCATTACGCAGTTAATAACAATAAACAATTAATGATTACTACAGTAGCCATTCACTATCGTCTCATCGTCAAAACATGATCCAGATTCGTCATCCATTGATCCATTCCAGTGTTCATTAACCAATCATTGCACTAATTATTCGAATGCCTGCTCAAACAGCCAGGTATTCACTTTTTTGCGGAATACCATTAGAGATGGTGCTAGTCTAATGTCGGTAGGAAGGGCGTTCCACAGCCAAGGAGCCACCACCGAGAAGGCCCTATCTCTCGTCCCCGCCAGACGTGCTTGAGAAGCAGGCGGGATCGAGAGCAGGGCCTCCCCGGAAGATCTCGAAGCCCTGGTGGGTTCATAGGCAGAGATGCGGTCGGATAGGTAGCTTGGGCCGGAACCGTTTAGGGCTTTAAAGGCCAACGCCAGCACTTTGAATTGAGCCTGGTAGCAAATTGGTAGCCAGTGGAGTTGGCACAACAGGGGGGTTCTATGCTCCCTGCGCTCCGCTCCTGTTAAAATCATGGCTGCCGAGCATTGGACTAGTTTGAGCTTCCGAGCCATCTTCAAAGGCAACCCCACGTAGAGAGCGTTGCAGTAGTCTAAACGGGATGTAACCAGAGCGTGGACTACCGTGGCCAAGTCAGACTTCCCAAGGTACAGGCGCAGCTGGCGCACAAGCTTTAGCTGTGCAAATACTCCCCTGTGAAAATGCTCCCCTGGTCATCCTCACCTAATATTGATTCTTAAATTTTAAAATGTAGTTACAAATCTGATAGAGCCACATTTGTGTTTTTTACTTTTGTGGACTTTATTATTCAAGGATTTGATCTCCCTAGTTCCTCCAGTATGACTCTATGGTAAATTCCCTAGGTCTTCCAGTATGATTCTATGGTTATTTTCCAGTGGAGGTCAACTACAGAGTTGTGCCACAAGGCCTAGAAATTCCTAGAAAAATATTCTCTCTAGTTAAAAACAAAGACATTGTTTTTATTCACAGTTTTTCACTACCCCAATGAAAGTGAAGGCATATTTAACATAATGTATAGCTCTGATCTTAGAGCATTGTAAAGCTAGGCAAATTTAATGAGGTCTGAGCTCTTTTTCTGACGTTCATTGTTTTAATTTAAAAAACTGCAGTACTTCCCCAAAACACTAGACTATCCCAGATCATGTAACAAATATTTAATGAGGCTCATGGAGTATTCTGATGCCATCAAAATGTTCTGCCCTTACTCCATAACATTCTTCCAAAGAAACAATGTGTCTCCCTTTAAAAAAAGCTCCATCTGACTCACTTTCTCCCATGCTGTGGTGGGTGTTGTTTTGTTTCCTCAGGCCAAGCTTCAAGACAGGCCTCTGGAAGAACAGACAGTAGGACACAGTTAGGATGGAAGAAATCCAAATATCTAAGCCCAGCATTCTAGATTTTTAAATTAAGTGCTGCATCGTTAAGTAAGTCTTACCCGCTCTTGGCTTATAAATAGACACTTGTGCTTATCACATTCACTCACTGGGAAAGAATGTAAATCAGCCTAAGAATGAAACACCCAGGAAGTCTGCCTGAATTATGTTAGCAACTTCATGGTGGAAAGGCACGCACACGTATATTTCTTCTCCTGTAATCCCCACCCCCCAACTGCCCTTGAGGAATGACGTGATGGTTTATATGCAAAAAGGTTCAAAGGAAGGTTATGTCACTGGAAAATATGCACTGAAATAAGATTCCCCCACACTATCTTTAAAGGAATTTTGGTGTGGTGTGTGTATCTTTAGTAAGTAAATTCATTTAAAAACCTGAAGAGCACCATAAGAAAAATTCAATACACAAATCTTTAAAATGCAGTGAATCTGCCCGTACCAAGATCTACTTGTCCAAAGTAGTTTCTCAACTCTTTATACACTTTGATTAACACTAATCTTGCCATCCTTTTCCTGTAAGAGGCAATGTAATGCCTCCTAACACTCTGCTACCACAATTAACCGGTACAGCTTTTCTGTCACTGTCCTGGAAAAGGTTGTACCTATTGAAATTTTACATATCAAAATCACACAGAGCCATGGCTGGGAGAGGGGATGAGAGCAATGATGGCTACTCACTTGGGCTTGAATGCATTTGATATTATAAACCAGTTGGAAATACACATTGGATCATTTTTGTTTGTCTGGGAATGGGGTTTAGTGGTCTGGATAGATCTATTAAAATCAAACTAAAATCTGGAGTAAATTTATAACCCTGTTAACATTGAAGTCAGCACTGCCACTGATAAAAAAAAATAAGTTTCATGCACCCAGCATAATTTGTGACCTCATTTAATGTTAGTGCCACACAACCACCCGTGGAAGAGATGTCCATTTTCTCCCAATGGCATGAATCGATTGAAAACTAAAGCTCTTTCCTTCTACTTTGTTGCATCATGGTTTGCCCCAAAATGGCATGGAGCATATTTTGCACCAATTTCTTAAATTGTTTTGGGATACAAATCACATCACATTCATTTTGACTTTAAAAAAAACTGTTAACATTTGAGAACATTGTTTGCAGTTGTGCAGGGACAATGCCATAGAACACCTAGATCTACTTCTGTAAAATTTCTGTTGCAATGTATCTCTAGGTGATTAAAACATCCCATTCTAGAGCAAGATGGCTAAAATGTTATTTCACCTTTTGTCTACAGGTCCTTCCACACAGCCATTGTTGTTGTTGTTGTTTAGTAATTCAGTCACTTCCAACTTTTTGTGACCCCATTGAACAGCCTATGCTAGAGCTCCCTATTGGGCGTGACGATCCCCAGCTCCTTCAAAGTCAAGAGAGTCACTTCAAGGATACCATCCATCCATCTTGCCATTGGTCCCACATCCATATAACCCAGAATATCAAAGCAGATAATCTACAATATCTTCTTTTAAGTGGATTATGTGAGTTCAATGTGGATTTTATACAGCTGTGTGGAAGGAACCTTAGCCAGCTGCTCTGCAAAGGCAGGGAAATCAGTGACTGAGAACCTACATCTTGCTTGCGTAGTAGAACCGAAATGCCCATAGTTACACAGTAATTACACTACATAACTCTTATGGTGAGTACCAACACCATGCAACTGGTTATATATCTGCCAACATGTGAACTTATTATCTCCTTGTGCGATGAGGTATGCACAATGGCTCTTTTGCAACCACAGTGAATAAAATGCTATATTGAAAGCACTAACAATTATGTACTATCCACAAATATACAACAGCATGGCTAGAATAGCTGAGATTCTAGTCAGTCCCACTCAGAGAAGATCCATAGAATCTATTGTTGAATCATAAGTAACACATAGGTAAATGTAACTGATTCAATGGTTCTGTTCCAGTTGAAACAAACAATGGGATTAAATCTATGTGAAATCTTCTAAAAATCTTACTATACATACAACCATGGATTAAATCTGTCAACTGCTCAATGTCCAAAAAGTATGACCATATGTAAGGGAACTTATACAGGTGTATGATACTCACTGGATTCCAGCCCATAACAGCTTAGGAAAACAACTTTAGTATACAAACAAAGTGCAAAATACCAGTGGTAGTCACTGTGGGCAGAGAGGCTAAACATCTGTAAAAGCATAGTTGATCAGATCACATTGGAGTAGCTCCATCTATCTGAAACTCTTTCCAGCCCCCACCTCTCATATCTAAGAGAGTCCATGTGCATACTTCTTTTCTAGCAGGTACCCTAGAGGAGCCTTCTAATCAAGGTGAAAGAAGAAAGCGCAAAAGCCGGGTTGCAGCTAAACATAAAAAAAAAAAAACAAGATTATAGCAACAAGAATGATTGACAACTGTAAAATAGAGGGAGAAAATATGGAGGCTGTGACAGACTTTGTATTTCTAGGTGCAAAGATTACTGCAAAGGAAGAGGGGCCAACCAAGGGCAAGATGGATGGATGGCATCCTTGAAGTGACTGGACTGACCTTGAAGGAGCTGGGGGTGGTGACAGCCGACAGGGAGCTCTGGCGTGGGCTGGTCCATGAGGTCACGAAGAGTCAGAGACGACTGAACGAATGAAAGGCACCCTAGAGAAGTGGTAAAATGAGGGAGTGGAATCTCTGTGACAGGGATATTTTTCCTACTAGAGGAATTTAACTATAGATGTGGTTCCTGAGGCAAGGATACAACATTCTCATGTGACAACCAGATTGTCCTGCATCAAAGGTTCAGAGCTACACCCCAAATGGACACACACCCTTTTGTGCATAGAAACTCCCCACTTTGATATCGTCTTCCAATTCTTGCCAATACCAGGTTCCAATTTCCCTCTTCACTTCAGATTTTAAACTGTTTCAGACTAAATGTCAGCAAATTCTGGTTCCCCCCCCCCCCACTCCAGCACCTGGACAGAGTATAGGCCAAAAAAGGAAGGGGAAACATGCCAAGAGGAAAAGGGAGTGTTCTTAAGTTGCCTTCTTATTTCATTCCTTTTCCCTAGGATAAGAAAATAGATGCTGGTGGAAAAAAGGTTGAGTAAAATAATACTGTCTAGGAATACTACTTACCCCTGCATTATTTCACCATAACCTCAGCAGTTCTTGAAGATCAGTAAGTCAAATGCAGATGTTAAAAACACATAAAGTCTCCCAATTGTATGCTGGAGACAGATACACTATTGAGAGACCTTTTTTTTTTCACCCCAGCTGTTTCTTCATGCCTCAGGCATGAGCTTGGCTTGCAAGTTTCATGACAGACTTGTGAGCAAGCTAGTCTCTTGTTCATTCACTCTCATTTTGCCATACTCCTTTTTAAAAATATAAATGCCACATGAACATTTATTGGTCATCATAGGTTTTCATGGCCAGAATCACTGGTATATAATGAAATTTGAAAAATTGCTGTGAGTTTTCTGGGCTGTATGGCCATGTTCCCGAAGCATTCTCTCCTGACGTTTCACCCACATCTATGGCAGGCATCCTCAGAGGTTGTAAGGTCTGTTGGAAATTAGGCAAGTGATGCTTATATATCTGTGAAATGTTCAGGATGGGAGAAAGAACTCTCATCTGTTTGAGGAAAGTGTAAATGGTGCAATTGGCCACCTTGATTAGTGGGCCCTGATTGAAAAAAATTGAAAAAAAATCAGTTTCAGGTTTCAAAGTGCTAATTCTTTTTTAATTGTATGGTACTTACTTTGAAAGTACTTGTTATACTCCAGAAACTTGGTTTTTGTGGCTGCCACTAAGTATGGTGAATTGGTTGAGACTCTATCAGATATTGAAAAACTATAGCAAAATGGGTTGCAGGATGTCATGCAAAAACATTTTTTTGCAATTTAATAAACTTTTTCCATATTTTTATGATAGAACCAATTAGGAAATGACATTTATAACCCAGGGACAAAAATCATGTTACATAGTTTTACCAAAGTACAATCATTTTCCTGTGCTATGTGTGTTGTTTCAATCCTGCATTCCCCTTAATGACTGAGCATCAGTCCTCACTACCTCTGAGGATGCTTGCCATAGATACAGGCGAAACGTCAGGAGAGAATGCCTCTAGACCATGGCCATATAACCCGAAAAAACCTACAACAACCCAGTCCAAAGACAGGTTGCAAAATTTGATACATCAGCTGGCATGGCTGGTGTGTGGATGGCCAAAAAATTAATTTCTTAAGTAAATTTCCTTGAACTATGTATAAATTAGTACCCCATGTCACAAGCAATTTACAAGTCGCTTTGTTCAGAGTGCAGCTTTAGGGGCAACCATCACTCCACATTATATACATGCAATAAAGTCAGTTGGCTTCAAAAGAAATCACAAACTTAGAGCTAGTCACAGGATATGTTTTCCATCTTGTATAAACATTACTACTTTATGTGCCAACATTTTGTCAGGTAATGCCCCTTAATCAAACAGGGTTTGCAGCTTTACTTACCTTTGAAACTGGCATACCTGAAGGCATAGATATATGTACAGAGAATGGAATTCAGTGGAAGCTGCCAACTTCCTCCATGGTCTTTCTTTCAAATGTCATCTTTCTTTCTCCTTTTCCTCCCTTTTTTGTTCAGTTCTGTGGAATTCCTGCTTGGTAATTTGAGATGGGAGCTGCCTTCTTTGAACTGACAATTTAGCAAGATCTGACTTTATAACGTCTGTTTTCTAATAATGTTTTTAATATGCGGTTGAAGGCTTTCAATAACAATAAAACAATAACAAAGAAGACAGTTTATAAGCAATTGCACATTATGATGAGTGGCTGGATTTTGGACCCACCGGTGCATATTTTAAAATGCACACAAAAATGCACACATCTGGAAACACCAGCACAGTGGCACTTTATTTTAGTATATGCTTTTTAAGCTTATCAGTGTCGAACATGGAGGATGCAG